TTTATTTCAGTCAAATGGGAAATCGAATAAATACAATCCAAAAGCTCACATAAAAGTTTGCTTTACTGTATACCCCAACAGTCCGGTGTGTAAGAACTTTGTATTTGTTTCTGGTTTTATGGAGAGTTTCTATCGCTTGAAAAAAAAAAATATAGAAGTCCTACATATATTGAAAAACACATTATGTAATCCTTTAAGATTTTTATTATTACAGTTTATTATATCAACTAAAACTAAAATGTTTGTTCATCGTTCTTCATTTCACTCCATCTCAGCCTCATCGCCGTCGCCTCCGCCTTCGATTCCACCGGGCGAGAACTTCTTATCCCTACTATTTCGAACTTGTATTTATACACTTCGATATAATCCAGCGTCTAAAATAGCTTCATTTCTCACCGAACGTAATCGTCCCCTCGCCGGAAACCTAAACTTCACCACGAGGTAATACCGGCCCTAATTATGCTACTCTCATGTTATATTGAATGTTTTTGTCTAGTTTGGATTGTAATATATGTCCTGATTTCGTAGGTTTCTCTGTTTGCTTTTTTTTTTTTAATTTTTGTTTTCAATTCCAGCTAGTTGGATTGCTGCACTTGTATTCTTGTTATGAACCGTGTTATGGATTTGGAACAGTTGTGATGTTTCGTTTTTCATTTCATATACGGAGGTGGATTGGTTAACTGAGGTTTGAATGTTTTATTTTTGGTGTAATCTCAAGGAGCACATTACACGCTTGATGAAGTACCTCACTCGGGATGATGATTGTGTCCCGTTGTTGCTAATTTCCACTATATCAGTACATGGAGAAATGACATTATATTTTAATCATTTGTGATTTAAGGTCATTCACCACTACCTTACTCCTGTTGGATGAAGAAGCAACCCAGCCCTTTTGCAGTTCACTTCTTCATATATTGTACATGTATTTACACTCTTTGAATATGGATGACGCTAAATTTCTATAAAATGCAAAAACTATTGGTAAAATATGTTGTGAACTTGAAGGTCATCAAATTCTTCGAGATATGTCTTGTGCATTGTGTATGACACATGTGATTTAAGTGAATTACTTTTTGTCAAGATATTCTTCTTGTTGGTGGGTCCAATGAGAGAAGGGGTAACATAATTGATTGGGTGGGATGGGATAAACAATTTTGGAGATTCATTACACAGCCCAACTTGGTAGTTAGTAGAGTGATGAAGGTCAAAAATTATTGGCATACTGGGTTTTTTGGTTGTGTCACCCAAAACACATAATTCTTGGTAGTGGAAAAGTCTTTTGTGGGTTAGGAAGGTTTTAGAGATGGGTGTTAGTTTTAGAGTGGGGGATGGTACAACTATTTCGGTTTGGACTTACCGTGGGTGCCTTCTATACCCCCTTTCAAACCAAAGTGTAATTTTCCTGTTGATAGTGGGAGACTGAAGAGAGGGAGTGTCTTTATGAAGGAAGGAAAAAGATAATGGGATCATGATCTTATTTATAAAACATCTGATACTGTGATTGCAGGTACAATTATGAAGATTCGAAGGATGTGGAGGGCAACATGCAAATTTAAGGTTTAACCAAAGGTGAAGAATTTTTTGTTGAGATGTTGGTTTGAATACATCAGTTCAAAAAGACAACTGAACATAAGAGCTAAGGTGGTAGGTTTTATCTGTGCTCACTAGAGAGGCTGAGGAGGGTTTAAATAACACTTTGGTTTTATGGCCCAAAGCTAAAGCATGTTGGAAGATTAATGGTGTCAGTTGGAGTCTCAAGATGTTGAAATTGTTAATTTTCAATTCTGGTGGCTGCATGTTTGTGTATCTTGGATTATTATGGTGCTTTTGGAATAGACAAATCAGGAGCTGGTAGATATTAGAAACCCTCTATTGCATGGTAATGTTGTTGTTTAGATTATTTTTCAAGATTTTTGTTTAGTTGTTTGGACTAAGGCATTGTGACCACTAGGCGGTGTTGTTACCATTACCCCTAATCCTTGTTTCAAGTTAGTTGGCCTTGTGGTTTGTTTGAGTACTATGTACATTTTTTTCATATTAATATAACAAGATTAGTTTGAAAATATATTGCCATAAGTGGATTACATCCAGCAGATAACAAAAAACTATCATCAAACAAAAGAAAAGGATAAACAACAAGGATAAGCATCAAGCAGCAATGATGAGGATAAAAAATAAAATTTGCAGTACTTGATGACTTGCACCCTCCTTTAAACCTTACAAAACATGCAGTGCAACCTTAATAATCCGAACAAATAAAAAACACATGATTATGTTCAACCATACACATTCACCTCCACATCAATCTAAAATGAATATGCATTGTTTAAAATTCCACATCGAACACCAAATCCCCGCACTGAACTTCGACTTTCCTAAAAATCATTATTGTTCCTTGAACATTTGAGCATAATTGTTGAAAGACTTCAGTCCTGTTAAGACGTATTTTTTCCCTTCTTTCTTCACTTGGACGATCCACTACTTACCAAAACGACGAAGACGAGCAGATTGAACTTCATCATTTTTGCCCCTCAAAGCTTGATTCTAGTAAGTAGATGGAATCGTCTGTTCGATATTGAATAAAAAAATAGTGCATTACTACTAATTCAATGATATTAGTAAAATAATACATGCAAGGAATTTAAGTGTAGATCACTTAAACATAGATATTTGCAAGTACATATTTGTTACCTGTCGGCCGCAGGTAACAAGAGTGAAGGAAGCCTATATATGGAACCCACCAACAAGAGCTTCCTCTTCCATGTCATCCAATTCCTCATCATCTTCAATGGAAGGTCCCAAAAATAATCTAAGGGCTCTCTGAGAACAAGTATGGTCAAAATGATAGACAATGAACCTGGTTGATCACGTCGGTGTACTCTTTTGAGTTTTAAAGTTACTAAAATAATAACCGTGAGACCAAAAAAACAAAAAAAAAAAAAAAAAAAAAAAAAAAAAAAAAAAAAAAAAAAATTAGCTGTTTGGGCCTCCAAGTTCAAAAGAAGGATGTCATTTTCTTCCACAGAATTTTTCCTCGAAAAGTCCTCCCATCCATCTCCAAACCCAATCTTCGTTCCAAGACGCTTAATTACAACATGCCATTTGAATGCATCATCCCCATTGCTGTTTTGCAAGGTGCATTCAATTGGAAGCAAATGTTCGACAGTGCTCCAAATCATAGGGGGGATAGGCTAAGAAAAATGATAATGTCATGTGAGATAAGCAATACGATTATAAACACATATATAATTAGACAAAAATTGGCAAGCGGTAATTAGGAAACATGTATAACCAATATTGTACATACAAACAGATGTAATATAAATGAAGCACAAGTCATTATCAAAAGTAAAAAATATAACACTTACCAGATTGTTTCTGTTGTGGTAGATGTTCATTAAAATAAATCGGTTAACCTCCAAGAATTGAGGTCGACTGCAGCCAATCTCTTCCGGTACGTGGCAACGACGAGTTACCCGATACTTCTAAGTCCAGCTATGATCAAAGTGGTAAAACTCAAAGTTGTTCGGTTTCACTAATTTGAAAGCCAAAAAATCAGCCCATTTTATATAATTCTGAATGCTGAAATCAACCCATCCCTCAGTCAAACCAAGCCCATCACCAATTTTTTCTACTTTCATATCCCATTTGGGCCCACTGTCAATTTTGTCGCTATGGAATGTACAAGTCAAGGGTAGAATGCCATCGAAATCTCCAACAATTGCAGGTGGAATAGTCTATAATGCACAATATCAAAATGGTATGCAAAAAAATATTAAGGATAACACAAGTTAGGGTTTACCAGAAAATAACACATTACATAATAACTTTAAATAAATCGTGTACCAGGAATGGTTGAACTTGTGGATGAATGATCTTGATAAATGTAGTGACTTCTGAAATATGCTTTGTCAGTCTCGGAACAATTGTTCTTCCTTTCTGCCGTTTACGTCTGAAAAATATCGACAAAAGCGAGAAGAGTGTAGAGAAAAATATGGTGGTGTCGCGACCCGAGATATTTTATTAGTACTTGTATCTGTAACCAGTCAATTGGGGTCGTTCTGGGTCAATGTTTTGGGCCCGACAAAACAAGGCTCACTAGCAATTCAAATTTTATATTTGTTAGGGTTTGCAATAAAATTGACAGGTCTTATGTTCAAATAATAAATTGGTATTAAAGTAGTTGGCATGGGCTTATTTTTAGGTAAATCTATTTTTTTTTTTGGGTATGAATTTCCTGGAAAAGGGGTTTGTTCTTTGTAAAATTATACATGTAAGATCTGTTTGTGTATAGTGATAACCGATCATCCCGATTTTCAAGTCATTTAAACATCTTGAAACACCCATTACACTGCAACTGCTTTTTTTTTCTTGTTCAAACGACAGTACACTGCAACTTGAAACAAATTAAAATATTGAGAACTTCAAAATCAACCTGAAAACCACCCATTACACACTTAAGAACTCAACACTAACTTATACAAACCAATAACAGCAGAATACAATGCATACAAATACAAACAACAAACATATTGTGTTGTTTCCCTTTGTTTGATGTGCCTTTTGTAGAATTTTCTATTCAATTTCCAACAATCTTTTTTCCTCCTTCATTTTGTCGTTTTCATCTTGCAATTGTTGAACGAGATCGCGTAACTCGTTTGATTTCCACAGAAGCCCGGGAATTAATTGCTTTGAACGATTGCACATTGGACCATCGACCCACGAGAAGAAGGTACACCCTCCTCTCTACAAAACAGCCGAAAGATTTGGTGAATTTTTCTGCAAAAAAATTAGGGTTTGTCTCATGAATACCCTGAATTATACAAACCTTACCTTGCAAGAGCTGAATCGCCTTCCAGGATTTTCCGATGTCCACGATGTGCGAATGACCGATAGTTGGCCACAATAGCACTCCTTGAACCCTGGTACCTGTGAATTTTCTGACATGGTTTGCAAATTCTACGAATTGCATTTGTTCTTACATATTTGCAGGCCTTATATAAGATAATTAATTGGGCTTAAAGATGATAACGCGCGGGAAATATGTTCTGTTTCCCTCCAGTAATTGGAAAGTTGGAATGCGAAATTGACAAATATTAAACAATTATGGAAAATGCTACATGTATATAATACATGTATACATCTACTTAAATCATTGATTTGCATGAAATATAAATTTATCTGCTTATTTAGTACAAGATAATGTTAATGTGATCATATTTGTTAGATGAAGATGAAATGGAGTTGAAAAATTTTGAACCAGTTAAAATGTATATCATTCAGTATATGGATTCTAAACAATTGAATAGGGTCCTTAATGAATAATAATCCTATATATAAATTATAAAATTTCAAAATTTGAATAATAATATTATTTTATAATAATTTCGAATAATAATTTTGAATTTCAAATAATAATCCTATATATAAATTAGAAATTTTTTATAATAATCCTTAAAGAAAATATATGGAATTATGAAATCGAGTACTTTAAAAAAATTATGAATTAACCAAAATGAAAATGAAATCTTTATAAAGTGCACACGTGGGACCCAGTTTCTCCTGCTATCGATCACAAAACAACATTTTATGGCAACAATCGTCTCCGCATCTCATGTCAAAATTCTTCACACATGACACAACAGATCAAAATAAATTCCAAGGTAGATTGCAAAACACATGCTTGGTACTCATCAGTATTAGAAATAAGCAGACCATTCAAACAACATTTTACTCAAATAAAATGTCTTAGAAAACCAAACCAATATAAAAACATATATTACGCAAACAAATAGTCCCATAGCTATCAATAACAACAAAACACGCCTTCTTCAAAGTAACTTGCGCGGACATCCGATAAAGCACAAAACCTAGTCTAGTAATTAATACTCCCCTGCAGATTTTCATGAATGTATCAAATAGTCCGCACAGAGTTGGGAAGTCTTCAGGTGCCTTGGGATCCTCTTCGCCGGGGTACGGAACCAGTGTCCCCATAGGTTCTAATATGGCTGTCAGAACGTTCCACCTGGGCTCAGGTACATTCAGAACGTAATGTGCAATCGCCCAATGCTTCATAAACAAAACAAAAAAATGACGTTGTGGCCATGCCTATTACACGTATGACATGACTAAAATATTGGAATGAGGATTGTTCAAACACATACCTTAAGCGCCAGTCTTCTCACAAGAAATGGGACATGAATGGTATGATCCAATGGATCGTGGTACACACCTGGCTGATCCAACAACCACTGATGAACCTTTCCCTAAGCAAGTTGTACATCCGGTAAGTGTCCTTAACTGTATACCAAGAACCCGTCTACTCAACAAAAGTCCTGTGTATTTCATCAAAATTAACGAAGATGTTGCCCTCGTCTGTCATACGCTCTAACACCACAAAACATCGTAGTACGCGACAGAATGCTTCCTCCAACCATTCATCCCATCTATCCAGCATCACGTCCCTCATATAATTGAAGTGTTCTTCTTTCGTTGTTGGTAAAGCAAAAGGGGAATCGTCCATTTTTCGGGTTCTTCTTCTTTTCTGTTTGGATTAAAAAAAAAAAAAAAAAACAGGAGATGTATTTTATGGAAAACCTTTCGCACATAAATATAGAAGATGACAATTTTCAATTTGAAGGGGTGTGTGACCGGTGGCGGTTGAGTGTTCGGTGATTTATTTATTTAATAGTAATTTTTTTTCAAGGTTGGAATAACGGTTGGCTGGGGTTACGGTGTCTACATGTATTCCAGGAGTAAATATAATTAAATAAACGCAATTTATGTGTCTAGTCGGTGACTTGACTTGTGCAGGTTTGCTTTTGCATTGGTGTTGACAATAAAGAATTAATTATTCGTTTTAATTGACAAGACATTAAATTATTTAATGTAACAAAATAATTAATGACAATTTGCTTGATACTATAAAAGTAGAAAAATGTTACATGTACATAATAAATGTACATAACACTCACATGGAGTAAGGTCCACTTGATTTTTTAATTTTAGTGGGTCCCACTCAATGTGAGTGTTATGTAAACCTCTATGTACAACATTATGTACCTATCATAAAAATAGGAGAGAGATGTATGATGTGATGGTTAGTAAAAATTATAGTATGATTTGTATTTGTGCAAAAAAA